GCTGTCATTAAATGCCTCTTTCTACATCGGGGGGGGGGGCCCAGTTTAGTGTTACACCCAAGAGTAAAGGAGTGGAGCAGCCGAGTGGGCCTGGATCAGGCCTTTTGTCTGACACAACCAGTGACCTGTGGAAATGTCTGTCCTCTCTGGAGACTTCCTCAGAGGGAGGAGGACTGACGCTTTATGGGAATGTCACAAATGGCCAAACCCTGCAAGACTAAACAATGTTTCTCTTTGTATACCACAAACACAAACTATCACCCGAGAACTGACGTCTGTGGGACAAATACGTACCAAAAGTCACCTGATGCAGTCGAAGCCCTGCTACAAGACGTCGACTGCGTCTGTGAATCTTACGGTGCCGTTACGGTGATAATATTACACTTTAATGTCATCAGAAATCATAACCACGCTTGCTAAGACATGTTCCTGTCAACTTTGAAATACAAGTTAAAGTGAGACTATCTAACTTTTGAAAGAGTAAATAACACATTTTTCCAGCCTTACTTGGTCTGGTATGACCAGTAGCTTATGGTGGCTAATGTGAGCTAACTTTGGTTGATTTGGTAGAATTAGACTTTTCTACTTGTGCTACAATTACACATTGTCAGCATTTATATTGTCCTGTAACATTAGTGCAAAACAAAGTCTAAATAGTGTTGATCTATCAAAAGTTTGCTAGCATTAGCCACTTAAAGCTACAGGTCATACCAGACCCAGTGAGGCTGAAGCAACAAAACAGCTGTGTGTTGAACTGAGTAAGGGTTTATTTCTTGAATCCAACTTTTGATTTATAGGACAAAGAATATGTTAGCTCTGTAGTTGTAGTTAGTATCAGCTTTACAGTGAATGAGTAATAGATCACTAGGGATACAAAGCCGTATTTTATTTATTGGTGGTAAGCTGCTGTTTGGATTGGTGAGTAAGTCGGGAAGCTTGAATGGAAATTTATTAGGCTAGACCACAGTCGGGACCTCTTGGGCTTGTTTAAAAATATCCAGTAATTGAGTTAAACTCAGCTAATATACATCCAAGATACTATCCTCCAGCAAGGACAGAAAAAAAGAAGAAATCCATGAGTTTGTCTCTCTGGTGCCTCGGAGCCATGCTTTATAATTTAGGTTCCCAACATTTTCACCTGTAACACCCAAAATAACGATGCCAGAGACTTGCAACCTTCCGTCAGAAGTGGTTTAAGCACAAACATGTCTAATGCCTAATCATACAGAGCTTTGATACCCTAACACAAAAGAACAACACCCATAAACATTGCATTTACACCACACGATGAACATGGTGCTCCTCCGCTCTCTTCTGCTGCTGTCCTCTCTGCTTGGTCTTTAACCAACATTTCATCTTGTACAAAAAGGTCGAGGCGTAACGCCTGTTGCTTTGAGCACGGACACACGTACACCTTGTTTACGTTGCGGGGCTGTAAATTGACCTGCAACTGTTGCCGCTCACCAATCTGTTGTAATCGTGACCCACCCGGGTGTCAAAAACCCCACTTTGAGAATCCCTGCTGTAAACGCTACTTTTCTTGTTTGGTGATATTGTGGAGGTCACTTTGGGGTCTTCATACCCCAAAAGATGTGATCTTCCAGCAATCTTTGTGTTTTTTTTTTTTTCTTTGATTTTCTATATTCTGCTAATACACCAATACAACGAACCTCAAACACTGAAATTATTTGATTAATTGATTGCTCAGTTAATTCAATTAGTCAATTAGACATCACTGACGTCTGTGATCTTGATGGCTTTTTGTTATCATTCATTTTTTTTGAATAAATGATTCATATATTTATTCAAAACATTTAATAGCTTAATTTCTACACAGCATGCAAGTCTTCCGATTAAAGTCTACTGTTTGCCACATACTAATGCTATATTCATGGCCTTTTTCCCGCTGGTTTCATCATATTCCTAAGTACGGTTGATGACGTTGAGGACAAAGTGGTTGTGTGAGGTTAGAGATGTCTTGTTTTAGGCTAACTTGTATGGGGCGGTGGTGCTGCAGGCGTGTGAAGCTGGAGTGTGTGTGAATGGAGAGGTTTTGGGTGTAGAAAGTGGCTGGACATCCTGTCCTCATCCTCAGCTCCTTGGTTCCTGCCCAGCTCGCTGTGCCGCAGCGGAGCAGACTTGTTTGGTTAGCCGTTTGATTTATGGCCTCGGGGTTTTTAATATATTTCTGCCCCATCCCTCTGAAACCCAGCACCACAAAATTACACCGGGAAGCAAAGTCCCTGAGAGTTTCTCACAAGATATTGACCTGAAATAGCACAATGCCACGGCACCTGTATCAGCACCGTGCATGCACTGTATATAATCATCCATCTACTGTATGTGTGCTTACACGCTGTATAGATATAGAAATACATACATGCACACATACAGTCTATAGGCCGAGGTACATTCCTACTGATGCAAATTCAAAAGAATGCACTTCAGGAATGCTCTACTGTTTGTGTTTTGTTTGTCATGTTTTTCTTGTGTCTAAAATGGGCTACTACTGCGTCTCGTTGTGCATCCCTGTGTTGCATTAACTGCACATATTTAGTCCATAAACTTATTTTTTAGAAGACAGGGATGCTCAGACTTGGCAAACATGAATTCTGTTGACTTATTCTATGTTTGCGCTTGCCTTACAGTAAATCACTGACTAAGAGCACACTCTATGTACCACGTAGATGAATTACTCAACACACAAATGAGCGTGTCTACACGGAGCAATACAACAATAACACTCACACACTCACTCGCTGCCTCGCTCCCTGGAGAAACACTCGCAAACATATTTTTCAAAAAGATTTCCAGCTTGCTCATGCGCAGGTGGTCTCATACATTATTCACTCTTACGCCGAGATGCACCTCCATTTATCATGTCAAACACACTCTCTCTCGAACACACACACACACACACACACACACACACACACAGCACTGCAAATACACTTGTCTCCAAAACTCCGTTCTCAAACACACCTGCTACTGTGCTTTCACAGTACAAACTGCTTCGGTATATTCAGTCTTTCACACACACACACACGCGCGCGCACACATTCTCTGCAGACTTGGTGGCCACTAGATTATTATGCTACCCCCTGGCGAGACTGACAGGTGTGTCAGTGTATGTGTGTGTGTGTGTGTGTGTGTGTGTGTGTGTATGTGACAGGCTGTCTGGCGACCCCCTTCTTGGTATTTATGAGTTCTGGACAGCTGAGGTGCTCGGCGAGATCTCTATTTAGCGCTTCCGGGCTAATTATCATACACACATCCGAAGCAGGCGCTGAACATATGCAATTAGCCGCGGACCGCCCACATCATTTAGCCACTCGCTAACTTTGCGTATCAAATCCCCCTGGTGGCTTGAGGGCTTAAATAGGTCCCTACTGCCCTTTTAACACTTGTGCTGCTACATAACAGGCCCGGCAACAGAGCTTTCATCTGCAGTGGACAGGAGCTTTCCCAGTTTGGGTTTAAGCACTTGTCACATGAACAGCAGCAATGGAGTATTTTTGATTCTGCATGCATGGCAAGGACTTAAGTCTAGAGTAAAAGAATAATGCAAGGTAGTCAGATTTGTTAACTCTTTCTTTTTTCAAATCAATATAAACATTTAATGTTGCATTTTCTTTTTTTTTATTATTACTACAGATCATCCCAAAAAAAAAAAAAATAGATGTTTAGGATTAAAAGGGTAAAACACAAATATTGACACAAAAATGATTATATGACATCAACGTGTACAGTATTGTCTTTGTCCTAATTACCTGTGTAAGCATGTAAGAGCCCACAGTCCCGACTATTAGTACCTGCACTGATGTGGTTGGATGTAATAAGCAGGCGCTTGTTCCCAAGATCTCTCAGCTAGAATTACCTTACACATGCACTCCTGCTGAAAGATACCATCTCAATATGAGTTTCATACAAAAGATCGCTTTGTTCTACTATAATTCTTCTCCGTTTCTGTTGCCACTATCACCACTTTTTTTTTTTTAAGCTTTGAGGGAAAACACAGATTTTCTTCTTCTGCAGGTCTTTTCCACGGCGATCGTTTCTTTCCAGGATGGGAAGGTGCGGCGGGTTTTTAGTGTCAGTCAGCAGTGTTTGAGGTGCACAACTTTGTTTAGAGAAGAGAGATTACGGCCAAGCCCACTGTTTGTGTCACAGGGTTTTGTCTAATCTGTGTGTATCAGGGCACATCAGTACCATCACATGACCTGCTTTTAAGGTTCAATTTGTAGAGCTTACACCATTTTATGTTGCTATTTAGGGGACATTAATGTTAATTTATGAGATCATATGTATTTATGAATGTTTCATTTATCCAAATGGAGCTTTAGATGCTTATATTTCTAATAACGTGTGACTGCAGAAGGGCAACTCTAGCATTGTTTTCTCTCAAAGGAAACTCAATTCCCAGACATAAATTTACACTTAAACCTCATAACTGACTTTTAAATCACATTAACTGTGAACATACCTGTAATTATGAAACATTTTGCAATTAGTATTTATTATTCCAAAGATAAACTAATTAAATGAAATGTGATGGATTGAAGCAGGCACAGCACCACCCTTAACACTGTAAGTGCTGTTGGTTTTTATTCTTAACTAAATGTGACTTCTAACCTGTATTTTACTTTCTTCAAGTTATATTTGAATGCAAGACTGCAGGACGTATTTTTACTATGTTAAACTTTATTTCCACTGTGGTTTTTACATTTTTACTTTTACTTGAGTAATGCATTTAGTACTTTGTTCTGGCTTTGTTTAGAATAAGTATGACTCAAGCTTTTCACGGGGAGCTTGTTTTACTCTTGAACTGCTTGGTCTGCTCTGTTATTAACAAGCTCTTTTATTTCTTTTTTTTCTCCTCCCTAACCACAATTGTTTTTGTCCATTTGCCTTTACTCTGCAGAGCAGTTTAGTTTAGTTTGGTGGGGTTTGTTTGGGTTTCCTCATTTCACCCTAACCGTGTCCTTGTCTTTGTGTGTCAGGTCCAGGCTGTACGGGGAGCAGTAGGTCTCGGAGCTCCAATGCCAGTGGACATGCAGCCACACCAGGGGCTGTACCACTACGAGACCTCACCCAGCCAGCCCTCCAGAGGGTAAGACAGCAGTTGACTCATCGCTCACTCATCGCTCTGTGGCTGCATTTTAACCTCCATTTGTCATGGTGAATTATGTGAAACCGGTTTCAGAAATATAAGGAATAGTGCAACATTTGGGGAAATTTGCTTATTTAATTTCTTTCCAAGAGTAAGATAAGATAAAACTTATTTTATCAATGAGATGATCTGTACCACTCTCAATGATAAGTACATTGTTAGAGTATCTCAGCACATAGAAGGGAGGTCGGCACTGTCCAAACTTCAGGCATCGCACATTTTCTTAACAGCATAAAAGACCATCTTATTTATTGTTTTGGTTGTGCGGTTTTATTTAGTTTATTTTATTCATTTACTTTATTAGTAAGAATTAAAATTGCATTGCTCTTTGTACCTGCATTATTATATATGCCATTATATAATCATTATATCAGTGGCATGAAATAGTCTTGACATGACAATAAAATCATTCATCGCAATTATTTCTTGCATGATATATCGTCCAACAAAATTATTACTAATACCGTGACAGACCTAAACATACACAGCAGTTTCTGAAAATAATCTCTTTTCAAAACCAAGATACAAATGTACTTGAAAGTCAAACTTTCAGTGCAATATCAAGGACAAAAATATGCCAACAAGTACAACACTAGCGGTATATCTGTGAGAGAAATCAGTCACCGTAGAGGCCCGGCAGATCAATCCAGACTTACAGTTCATCCAACCAGCCAGCACTTCTATCGCGTGTGCTGACAGATATGGTCCGCACTATGGTATAAAACCTGGCAAACTCACTGCGATAACAAGACTTCAACAAGTTGTGCACAGTCACTGCGCACGGCCAAAATTCTTAGCGCTCCTCCTAAAATCACAAATTGTTGTTTCTGGACAGGGTTGACATCGGGACAATACATTTTCTAACTGTGGACAGAGCCAGGCTAGCTGTTCAGAAACTCTACCTATTTTAATCACACAGATATTCTGAGGTTGCAGGTCTCGCTGCAATTGTTGTGGACGCAGTGCTAGCTCAGTCCCTCACTCCTCCCCCTCTCCTCCCTCCCCTTCCACATGCCACCCAGGTTGCGGGTGGACTCGGCCTCTCTCTGACAGCTGCTAATTACAGGCTGACCAGGCCCCGCTGCGCTCTGCATGACTGCCTCGCGCCCCGCTCAGGTTACCCAGAGTGAGGGAGAAACGGAGAGAGATGGAGAGAAAGGTGGCTTGTCAGGACGGAGAAAGACAGAGGAGCAGGAGGGAGAGGAAGAGGAGATAGAAAGTAACAGAGAGAGAGAGGGAGGGGGAGAAACAGAGAAGTGGAACAGAAGGGGTGAATGGGAGAAGAGAAAGGGAGAAAGGAGTGAGAATGGGAGGGAGAGGTAGAGTCGGGGGGAACCAGCACAGTGGATTAGAGGGGACAGATTAAGCTCCTGTGTGGAATACACGTTGTGGTGAAAGAATTAAAGACCTGAAAGGACGACTTAGGAGGAGGTGGATAGATGAAGTCTGCCCCGTTTTAGGAGAGGAGTGAGAGGGACGGAGACGAGGAGAAAAAGAAGAGGAGAGACAGATTTTGAACTGACCAGTGAGACTGAGGGAAGGTCAGAGAAAACGTTGAAATTCATGTGAGGACTGGAAAGTTTCATCGAAGCTTCCCTTCTCTAGTTTGGTCGGGGAAAACCCAGATGAGTAAGTGTCCACAGTGAAGACCAACATGAGGGCTATACTCCATCTAGTGGCGAGCACCAGACAGCACAAGGCAGTGCTTCCCTCCGTGCACCACCTCTGAAAAGTTACTATACATTTTTATAGAAGCTTTTCAATTGCCACAATCTTTTCGCATTGATCTAGGCCCAAAAGTGACACAGAAAACACGGAAAACTACAATATTTTTTCAATGTGTATTTTTCCCATTTGATTATTTCTTTATTTTCGGTATTTTATTTCTTTATTTCTCTTTTTTTTTCCTTATTTACTTACTTTAGGGTCCCAAATCTGCACACCTACCACTACTTAATATGTTCCTCTGTGATGCTTCCTGCCTGTCAGTGACACTCTTTACCGCTCTATTTCTATTTTGTTAGTTTGCCATTTTTTTCAGATTATTAATACGTTTCTATGATATCTGCAGCCTAGTCCCATCAGACCAGTCGCCCTACAGTGATGTGTCCTCGCTGCGTGCACCGCTCCTCAACGGCCCTCCCCAGGACTGCCGTGCTATGTATAACCCCATGACTCCCAGTATGACTCATGGATCAGGACCAGGACAGGGGGTTGGCCACTGCATGGATCAATATATGAGGCCCCCTCAGGCCCCACCGCCACACAGTATGATGAGCCACAGGGGCATGCCGCCCACAGAGGGTGAGTCAGAGTATCTTTTACATCGCCTTAATCTCACAGCTGCTACTGATTTGGATTTAAAGATACCTGAGAGACTGAGGAAGAAACAGAGACTACCCAGATTTATACAAAAGGAAAGGTCCATTCAACAGAAGGCCGGTTGTACTGCTGAGATATAATCTGTTACTCAGAGAAACAGCAGCTTGGGCTCATTTTAATCACTCAGTTAATTCACTTGAAGCAAATGTGATGAAGCAAAATACGGAACGCGTAGTTCGCTCTTTCTTATTTTTAAATGTAATTTGTCAATAAAATAGTGTCTGTACCAGAACCCTGGTGTGCGCTTGTATTTTTTATTGTGTTTAATTTGGTTTACCCTGCACCAGCTGTATCCCTGGAGAGAACACATGCACCGCTGCGCACGGGGTATCTTCAGCTTTTATAGAAGATAGACTCTTTAAAAACATAATATGTAAATAGTGAATCAAAGTATGAATAATGAAGAGATGCCAGCGGATTACTGTTAAAGTCTCTTTGTGTCAATTCTACTTTACCAGCTCATCCATATTTTGTCTCATTTCCTCTAAAAATAGAAACTAAGAGGAAAGAGTCTAGACTCTAGACCATAAAACATTGCAGGGCAGTTAATTGTTGCTCTTCCTCACTTGTCATTACCTAAAAGCTAGATTTTCCAAGTGCTTCTTGCTGCTGTACCTACAGTAAACCTTCAAATGACTGATTGGCGTGTGGCCAAACTCAATGTAAGTGTCTATCCCTTCTTGCTCGACCATTCAGCTCTTGTTAGATAACCAAGGCTGCAGGTAAACATGATGTTTTACCTGCAGCCTTGCACGCACCGGGCTACACTGCTAACACACTGAGAGACGTTCGTGTGAATCTTTGCAGTGGTGTGTTTCAGTGTTTCTGTCTGTCCTTTATGTCCAACAGGTGGCAATAGCACCCCCTACTGTAACCAGAACAACATGATGTCCTCTCATCACAGCTTCTGCCAGTTCCAGCCTGGCTCTGATCAGATTGGCTCAGGTGATGGTAAGTTAACATTCCCCATTTCCTTTGAATGCAAATCAGGTCTCTTAAAGGATTTTGTTTCATCAACGCTAACCCTCCTCCTCTTGCTGTCCTCTGTTCCCCTTCAGGCTCGAGGTTCTCCACGCCTCGTTCCATGCTGAAGCTGAGTAAAAAGAGAGCTCTGTCCATCTCTCCTCTGTCTGATGCCAGTGTAGACCTGCAGACAGTGATCCGAACATCACCCAACTCCCTGGTGGCCTTCGTCAACTCTCGATGCAACCCTAACGGGGCCAGTTCCTATGGCCATCTCTCTGTGAGCGCCATGAGGTCAGATATTTCACCATTCCACCGAAAGCAATATCCATTCCTTCAGACTAGTAAGGTCCAATGTTCAAGGTAATGGATTCAAAGCATCTGCTGCACATTCCCTGATTATAAAATAGCATCATAATATACAATATTTTACTTTGAGGCATGAAGTTTGATGCTATTCTCTCCCCTCATTTGGCAATATTTATCACCTAACATCCTCTTCTACTTTCAAACACCATCTAGCCTGAGCTAACATATTTCCGTATTAAGAGAAAACAATATTACCGGTGTTCATCCGCCCATGATAAATGTCAAAGTTCATGATTGATTTGAATGTCTCACCAGTCCCTTATATTCTGCTAAAGTTGTCATATTATTGTTTACTCTGCAGCCCGTCCCTCGGTTATTCCAGCAACATAAACTGCCAATCCAGGCAACAAATGTCCATGTATGGAGGAGGCGGGGGGACGCCTCTGGGAGGACACACACCAGGTCCCTGCCAAGCTTCCCGCTTACCGCCCCACAATCCTCGGCTCCACGCTCCACCCAAGCATGGACACGTAAGACGGCCCTCTCACTCACTTTACAAAGCACTCAAAGCAATTCAGTATCAGTGCAGAGAGGATGGATGGGAAGAGGGAATAGGAAGCTGAGAGAGGTCTATGACAGGGAGGATTACAAATCTGTGCTCATTTTATGAATGTTAATATCTTTGAGAGACAGAATCAAAAAGGTGATATGATGTGTGCTTTTGTTTTCTGTAGCTGAAGACAGAGCCAGGGCTGGGAGGTGTGATGGATGGCATGAATGTTAAGAGCCTGGAGGAGAGGTCAGAGGGAGATGTGGCCAGTCCTTCTTCCACTGGCACTCAGGTGCAGAAACGGTCCTATTCTCACAGGAAGTTTTCACATTTACACATTTACATTTTTGGCATTAGATTTGTAAAATACTCTGCAGTATAAAAATCATATGTCAACTGCTCATATTTGACTGATAAATATTGCAGGTGTTGCTGACCATTTTCTAGGTCTTATAGTCAGCATGCAAAGAAAGTACTTTATTTTCTTTATCTGCTTGTATGTAGCACTAGTTCATCACAGCAGAACAGGACTGGCTGATAGCTGATATGTAGATGTTTGTACACAGTGGGGAAAAAATGGTGGGCCAAGAACTTTGCACAGATGCAAAACCATTTACACTATTTGTCACATCGCGCTGTTTCACATTTTTAAAACAGTTTAACGCAAGTGACAATCAATCCGCACACACCTGTTCTCCTCAACTTGCTGTTAAACTGCCGCCTAATTCCCCGTTTGTTTTACCACGTTGTCCTGCTGCTTTCATGTTTGGTAATCCTCTCAGAAAGATGTTTTAGATCCTGAAAGTCTATTGTTGACCAGGTAGTATCCCCTCCAAATGACACGCAAGCCCAAAAAACATAAATTCCTTCATCTGGAGCCTTAAACTTCTGGTTTGAACCTATGTGTTTCATCAGGACCCTCTCCTGGGTCTACTGGATGGCAGAGATGACTTGGACAAGGAGGACGGGAAGCCTGAACCAGAGGCCATCTATGAAACCAACTGTCACTGGGAGAGCTGCAGCAAGGAATTTGACACGCAAGACCAGCTAGTTCATGTAAGGCATAGATCAACTGATTAAGAGACAAAAAAAGCAAGAAAAATACAGAATTGTTAACAAAAAGGTATCTACAGGAGAACAATTTGATTATTAATGGGAATCTCTATTTAACAGCACATCAACAATGAGCACATCCATGGAGAAAAGAAGGAGTTTGTGTGTCACTGGCAGGAATGCTCTCGAGAACAGAGGCCTTTCAAAGCCCAGTACATGCTGGTGGTTCATATGCGCAGACACACAGGAGAGAAGCCACATAAGTGCACTGTGAGTGTATCTTTAGTCTCAGTCTATGTACTTTCTTTCTCTCTGTTTCTATATCTGTTTTTATTTGACTTTTAGAAGTTGTGCTCATTATTGGAACTTGACTGTTGTGATAAAAAATGTTCCGTGTCTTTCTGTTTCAGTTCGAGGGCTGTAATAAGGCCTACTCCCGCCTGGAGAATTTGAAGACCCACCTGCGCTCTCACACTGGTGAGAAACCATACGTGTGTGAACATGAAGGCTGCAACAAGGCCTTCTCCAATGCTTCAGACCGGGCCAAGCACCAGAACCGGACTCACTCCAACGAGGTACTATAGTGTGCGCCACTGAAAAGTAACAGAGTACAATACAATAGTTTGAACAATACCTTGACAACTGGCTTTGTCGGGTACATTGTTAAACCTGTAGTAAACCATACTTTATCTTTCCAAGAAAACAGATGAGTGCTTTATGTTTTTGTATTTGGTTAGTTAAAATAAAATGTCTTGTAGAGATTCACTCTTCTGCAAATATTTTGGATGTCCATAATGTCATTTTCTGTAATTTAAAAAAATACACCAACATAAGTTTGTATTGAGCCAAGAGTGGTAAACTTCTGAGAGACGCTTTTAGTAGTTGCAGTAAAGTAAATTTTGGTATGCAAGACTGTGCACGCACAATGAAGAATGTGTGTATTGACCGATGCTTTGCTGTTTTTACAGAAACCTTATGTATGTAAGATCCCCGGCTGCACTAAGCGGTACACAGATCCAAGCTCTTTGCGTAAACATGTGAAGACGGTACACGGCCCTGAAGCCCACATCACCAAAAAGCATCGTGGAGACACAGGACCTCGACCGCCTGGTTCAGCTATGACCCCTGGAGGCCAGAGCTCTGAACTACTGCTGGAGAAAGAGGAAACACGCAGGGAGGACTGCAAGCTGTTGGCTCCTGAGACTGCTTTGGTGAGTGATACATTTTATTCATGGCCTCCAAGAATCTTTATAATAAAACAACAAGCAAAGCCGCAGTGTTAAATCACCACATTCATAGTTTTGTTAGAAAAGGGTTGCCATGATAATACATTCCATCACTTCTTTCAGAAATCCCAGCCAAGCCCTGGTGGTCAATCATCCTGCAGTAGCGAACGTTCTCCACTGGGGAGCGCCAACAACAATGACAGCGGGGTTGAGATGAACCTAAACGCAGCTGGCAGTCTGGAGGATCTCACAGCACTGGAGGATGGAGTTGCAGGTGGAGGAGGGGAGCCAGTAGGTGTAGGAACAATGGGAATGTCTGTTCAGGCTTTGAAGAGGCTGGAGAACCTGAAGATTGACAAGCTGAAGCAAATCCGCAGGCCAACCCCTCCCGGCCGGTGTGCCAGTAACAAGCTACCTGCACTTCCTGGTATGTTCTGTGATGAAATAACCGACTGATATTCAGAACTCTGTTGTGGGCATAGTCTTAGTTTAAATTGGTGAAGTCTGAATTGTTGTACAAAATAGAATATTTCAACTTGACTGAAGAATTAATTATTCCAACATAACTGACCTATGATTGAGTTCAATCAGATATCTAAGTTTACATTCTTCGTTTGTATTGACAAACTGCTTCTAAGCCGCTTCCTCCCTCTGGGTGTTCACTTTCAGGACCAGGAGAGAATATGGGAATGTGTGCACCTTCGCCACTGCTCTCAAATCGCCGAGTTATGGAGCTGTCCAGTCACGAGTTAGGAGGCGGCACATCGATTGGCTGCACTTCCACTGACAGGAGAGGTAGCGGCGCCAGCAGCCTAAGCTCTGCATATACCGTCAGCCGCCGGTCCTCCATGGTGTCTCCATACTTGTCCAGCCGGCGCTCCAGTGAGGTCTCACAAATGGGAGGATGTCACCTCCTCAGCCCAGAGCAGAGTGGGGGAGACCCACTGTCTCCGGAGACCAATCGCAGAGGCGCTCCATGTCCCGGAGGAGGAGGATTGCCGGGGCTTCCTAATTTAACACCCGCCCAGCAATACAGCCTAAAGGCCAAATATGCTGCAGCAACTGGTGGACCACCTCCTACTCCTTTACCCAACATGGAGCAGCCAGGCACTCCAGCAAGAAGAGGAGGTATTTTGAGTGAGTACCAGGGGCAGCCTCTGCCTCCTTTCCTTCAACAAGGTGGTCCACGTAGGCACAGTGCCAACACAGAGTACGGCACTGGTGTTATCTACCCTCACCAGGCTCCAGGTAACAACAGCAGGCGAGCCAGTGACCCGGTTCGATCAGTAGCAGATCCTCAAGCTCTCCCCAAGCGCTTCAATAGCCTTAATAATGTAGCCATGATGGGCAGAAGGAATGCGCTGCAACACCGGGGCTCCGACACCAGTCTTGCCCGCCACCTGTACTCCCCTCGGCCACCTAGCATCACAGAGAATGTAATGATGGAGGCCATGGGTATGGAGCCTCACCTTGCCCCTATTGATGGCAGGGATCGTTCCATGATGATGCCCCCTGGAGAGAGGAGCTTCATGGGATACCAGCAACAGCATCAAACTCTTGGAGGAGTTGGAGGTTCTCTTGGAAACCAACTGTCCCCAAGCCATGACTCTCTGAGCTGCCCAGACCAGGGTTACATGCAGGGGCACTACCAGAACCAGGGAGGGGACGTCTCTTCCAGGGCTGGTGGGAATCCAATGGGCCAAGCACGGCCTATTCACTCAGAGGGCATGTCTAATACACTTCTCCAGCAGGCCGAGTACAGTATGAGCACCTGCCAGCTCAGTCCCTCAGGCCCCCATTACCCTAGCACAGGCCAGGGTGGTGATGCTGGAGGCCCTTGGAGCGATTCCCACAGCCAAATCCAAACTTCCAGCCATGCTCTCCAGAACCAGCGAAGAATGCAGTATTTAGATCCTAGCCTGCAGCCTCAACAGACACAGGCCCACTTCAACAATCAGACAGGCCTCTACAACAGTCCTGATGGAATCCACAAACTCACCATCAAGCCAGAGCAGCAGTTCCACCCTGTGATGGGAGGCGGAAATGCCTGCCAAAGTGCAAAGCTCCAACAGCAGCGGATGCTCCTCCAGCAACCTCAGGGTTACCCACAACAAACAGGCCAGGTCCTGATGAGGAACTCTAACAATCCCAGCTGTGACTTTCAAGGGCAGAACCAGAACTCCTTCCCCAGTGGAGAGGGCTTGAGCTTGGGCTGTGCTGGCACTGCACTCTCCGACGGGCAGAGGTCAGAAACCCCAATGATGCAGGTGAAGGAGATGATGGTGAGGAACTATGTACAGTCACAGCAAGCACTCATGTGGGAGCAGCAAGAAGAACAGCAACAGCAGAGTGGAATAAAAGCTCCTCCTGTATCTGCTAATATGAGTGTCCAGACAGCAATGATACAGCACAGTCCACAGCACCAAAACCAGAATCTTTACCCAAGCCAGCCCTATCCGTCCTACCCCAACCAGAACCTGGTCATGAGCCCCCCGGCCCAGAGCAGAGGGCCCAGCTCTGTGACACCTAAAGACCAGCAGCTGACAGGTCTCCAAGGCTCATGTTATGGCCAGGAGATGGTGGTCCCCAGGCCCCCTCAGGGACGGAAACCTCCCAGCCGCCAGAACAGCCTGTCACAGGTAGGAGGAAGCTACCTGGGTAGCCCACCCCACCTCAGCCCTGTCCACTCCACTTCCAGCCCCAGGCGAGCGGTCCGACTTCCTCCAGTTCAGCATCCACAGCAAAATGAAATGTTCTCTCCTTCCAATAACAACATGTACTATTCAGGCCAGATAAGCATGGATATGGACAAACACATGGACCCCCAGAATGGACCTTGTCTCAACCAGCAGCTCAGTATGGGGTCCAACCTGGACCCAACAGATGGCACAAAGCCTGCCCCTATGACTCCTTATCCTGAATCTGGCCCCATCTCCAATGCCTTAGAAAACCTGGACCTGGATAATGCTCGCATAGACTTCACCTCCATCATTGATGATGCGGAGTCTTCCTCATTCAGCCCAATCAACAATCCCCTTCAGGGTCAGCCGGGGTCTTCCTCCCAGGCCTCATCCCGCCTCACCACCCCCCAGACCTCTGTCAGCCTAGCTGCAGGCTCTGGTCTGTCCAACATGGCTGTAGGCGACATGACGTCCATGCTTACCTCGCTGGCTGGGGAGAATAAATACCTGAACACGCTGTCTTAGAAGAAGACTTTGGGGCATTTTTCCCAGATTAGCAATCAAGTAGAGGCCTTGGCCAGTTCTTAATGTTTTAATTGAGATCCCGCATGGAAGTGTATGAAACCCAGTATTGAGGGGTAACCGGCATGGGCTTTAAAACACTCAAATCCTGTTGCTTATGGGATATTGCAAGAATGTTAAGTTTGGGTAAGACAGACACACTTTTGAATGGATCATTTCATATAATGGATAATTATTCTGGGCGGTTTTATACTTCCCCATAAGCCTTTATACGTAAATCCATCACATTAGCCCTTATTTGAGCCAGGCAACTCATAAGGTGTCTGTTGATACTGGATACCAGGAATAATGATAATGTTGTAATGCATTTCGGTTGCAAGTTGAGACAAAGCTATTGATGTGATCCCATCACAGGTTTCCAAATTGTAAGAATCCCCACCCGAAACCTTAAAACCAAAGGTGCCTGATCAACCTCCCTTCGCTGTATTGTCCCTTGGCTGCCTTGGTACTTGATATTTTGCTGTGCCTTCCTGTAAGACACGGAGCTATATGCCTGAAATGAAACTGAACACTGAACTTTTTCCAAACAGGCATTCCAGTCACATGGTGCTGTGGCGACAGTGGAGCAGAGAAGGATGCATGTAAATACGTTTTATATACATTTATATATGTTGTTTATATGACAATGAGACCGTGGATAAATCATCCCCCGTCTTCTGATAGACTGCTTGGATTCTGAAGGCCCAATGTTCAGACAGGAGTTTGTAAGATGGTTTGTTTGAAGAGCCGAGTGAAGACTTTGAGTTGTGCTTTTAGTGATTGAGAAATCCTTTCTGGGTGCTACTAAATATTAATCTGTATTGAGGGATTTCTTCCTTGTCATGAGCAACACAATCTTTTATAGTGGTATATCAGTAATCCCACACCCGCAGAATGCAGTCACAGACACACACACACACACACACACACAAAGTCCACACACAGACACTCAGGACTTGTTGGTGTTTGAATCTTTGGTGTTCAGATTACATGTATTTTGTAATTTCCTTTCCAGACAGAGAGTTTGCACTCCATATGTTTACTGTAGGTGTTCCTGAAGCAGCTTTGTACTTTTATTTTTATTTTATTTTTTTCCAGCGTTGTTTGTAACTGCAAAACAGAAAGTTCTTTGCTCTTGCAAAAGGTACACTCACAGGGGATAAAAGAGTAAAGCTCAATTATAATATGTGTGCAGCAGTCCCCTCTACATTACAGTACGTCTGATGTATTAATAACTCGGATGAGGATGGCGACTATTTTGAATGAAACCCGAGTCAGCTGGTTTCTATCTATTAACAGATCTGTAATAGTTGCCTATGTTTGAGAAACTGAGGTACATTCATAGTTCAGTGCTGCTGCACTTCGGCTCTAATCCCAAAGAAGAGTTATAAGGAGAATTCTGCATTACTAATTCAGGATAGGGGATCAAGAAGCAGGAGTTTTTTTCAATCGCTGCCACTGTAGTAAAATACACATTGTCATGGGTATAATGAGGTACTTTCTTTGCGACTATTGAGCTGTTTCACACAGAGGAAGGCTGCAGCTCTTGGTAGGAGATCTACTTTTACACTGTGGCTTTGCACTGACGACAGCACTGTGTGGAAAGGTCTCTGTCTCTTATGACTATTTACATGAACCTCATTTTGATAGCGATCAAGAATTATCACAGTATTTCTTTAATAGTCATTCAAGAACGCATCTGAGCACAGCTAGACTTATTAAAGCCACATCAATGTATTGCGGAAGCAGTTCACGAGACTTTTCAGAATAAAATAGTAACGTCACTTGTAAGTTTACTAAGCATTAGCGGGAATAAACATTTCTTCATTTTGGAAAAAGTGTAAAACCTACCAAAGACACCTTAAAATGACTGACAAAAAGATGCACAAATAGTCTATTTTAACACAACACTAACACTAACAATAAGGGCATGAACATTGAATGGTAGTGCTGTTCCTTAGAATGTATGAGATGTTTTGTATAAAATTATCTTTTTATATTAATGAACTTTTTGGATGTTGCCTTCTATGCGTGCGTTTTTTTGTTTTTTTTTATAACTGTCATCCTTCATTCTGACTTTTTTGCTGGCAAAAGAATAATATCTTTAGCAACTAAAAGCTATAATAGTAGCATTAACTACAATAGACAAAAGCCAAGTGTTATATTTTGTGTACAATTTTCTACATTTTTATACAAATGTGCTATATTTTACCAGTGTATGAATAAAGATCTTCAGCGGGATGGATGCAGAAGGATTGTCAAACTTGTTTTTGTCATGTCTGTTGTTGTAAAGTGATGTTTTGATCCAACACACGATCAAATGCTGTGATGTGCCAACTCTGCACATTGTTCGCGTCTAGGAGGCTCAAAGTGAAGACGTGGGTAGAACGCCTGCTCTGCTGGATGACGCTCGGTTCTGGGCCTGGTGGATTAATGCAGTGACATCTTTCCTCCAATAGAGTGCAGTACAGCCTGAGAACAAGCAGCCGAGAGGTATTTCTCTTTCATTCACAACAAATGAAGCCCCCACAGCACAAGTTGAATGCTGCACACACTGCATCATCTATCACTGCTGTAAGCAGTTAAACTATATTCTGTGAAAATGTTAGTGCAAGAAACAACTACTGTTACAGCTACTACAGAGACACGGAACTGTGAAGCTTAAAGTATGTACCATTAGATGTACCATGATTATAGGTACGCCACAAATAATCCCTGTAAGCAGTTAAACCCTATTCTGCATAATTGTGATCCAACATTATACCCCAAAACGATTAAAAGTCTAACCAACCGACCAAGCTGATGACATTTACCCTAAATCCTCTTTCATTTTGTCCTTGTCCTAATTGGAAAAACCTCTTGTTATGACTATGGTTTAGAACTGCATGTTAATGCAGTCTGCTCGGCAGCTACAGTAAGTAAGCGGATGAGCATTACAAATGGCTGCTCTTGGTGACATCAGTGCTGGACGGGCTCTCTGTGGTCAGTGGGGACTGGCACTGTGGGCCGCTGGATGCTGTAAGAAAGAGCAACGACACAAAGCTCATAAAATATTATCAACACGACATCTAAAAGACATAAAATAAGAGAGCGGAGGGAAAGAAATGGCAGTAGGGTTTTATATGAAACAGCAGGGGTTTCCCAATATTTTTAGCTTGTGACTTCCTAAAATTAAGTCATGTTTATTTGTGACTTCACATCACAGGATATGTTGGTGTGGACGTGAGCTATGAGCAGTGCAACCAAAGAAGGATTTTTCAAAAAAAGAATAAAGTTTAGTGTATTCCTTCTCTCTGTTTTTAACCCCTTTAATCACCCTGTGATAATGAAGCACGTTGCTGTACACTTATTCAAACTACATCACAACAAAGTCAAACTAATAGCCTAATTCAAAGTGGGTAATTACACCATGCCTACTGAAAATATCAATTTCCCCATGTTGTGTGGAGCAGTTGTGCGTTTAAAATTGTGTGACAAACAGTCACGTTCAAAAATCCAGCTGTATTAATTGTCGGTAACCATAGCAACAGCACCTACATCTGCTTGCCTACGACCTTAACCACAAGCAGACTTGAAGAACTTCCTAATGATTTGAACACACCTATGGTGCGTCACGATACACTCAAATGTGAAACCCCCTGTATATAAGAATATCCTGATATCCTGATGTAGAAACCAAGAGACTTTTTCCGCCCTTGTTTGTTATTTTCGGCACTTTGTATAGCACCTCGTCGTGTGCTGACGCTGTCGTTTAAACTGGTGTGTTTAGTGAACTTTTATAGTAACTTTTTAATGTGATATTTTTAAAATGCTATCACCACCATTACTTTTTACAGCGCTGGCTCATATTTGGTTCAGGGGCCCCAGTGTGCTTGGACTATATTGGCATTGTGGTGTTGTGGCATGGCACAGCAGACTCACGGCAGCCACTACAGCCTGGCAGGGAGGCTGAAGTTGACTCATTCGCTCCGAGGGAAGGGGAAGTTCTCCTGACAGACTACTGATCTGCAGTCTGGCATGTCCGGATTTGTTATTTTAAACAATAGCTAGAGCTCCACAAAAAGGTCAAATAGGGTGTCTCCTATCAGCTGATTGGAGATTAAAGGGAGAATAACATAATTGAAAAATTCAAACATTTATGGCTGCATGTTGAATACACACATTTGTGAATATATTAGTGCAAGAAACAACTCCAGCTAATACCCATCGGCCTACACCTTGGTACAAAGAAGTAACCCTTTAGATTTACCAGATTAGGATATAAAGGTCGGCTGCATCACTAATATGTGGTCCTTCAACACATCTAAAGTCCTGTTCACTCATGTGAAGCTACATTCACCGTTGCAATGAGGTGCACAAACATAAATAAATCAGAGTAGGCTTTGTTTTTGTTCGAAGAAATGATAGATGTAAATGTCGAATAGTTTTGCTGTATTTGTTTAATGTTTAATTTAGGTCCTTATTTGACACAATTACATACATTTCAGATCTAAAGCACACTGGCCTAAACTGATTCTTTTCCTGGAAACATTGTCTTGTCTCAGGACAAAGTCATTGTTACTCATATCTTCTTTTTTTAGACTGCGAGTGTGTGTTTGTGTGTGTGTGTGCGCGTGTGCGTGTATATTTTCAAACCATATTCTTGAACAGGTTTGAGTTAGACTCGAATGTAAAATGTTAGACGGCACTGATGCAAAGACAGTGTTTTTGACCCTCTACAATGTGATCTCCTCTTTTCTGTAGAGTTACAAATGGAAATGCCAAAATAAGAGTTTTTTTCAAATGCAAAGAAGTGGGCAGCATAATGACTTTTCTCTTTTCTTGTCTTGCCATTCAGAGGGAGGCTTTTCTTTTCCTTTGTCACTTAGGTTGGCATATAATTAACTCCTGCTTAATATGCTGTTTAAGGGCTCTCCTCCCCATGCAAGAAGCTTTGAACCCATAGACCACAGTCAGGGACAAAACCCCAGTGGGACTGCTTCCTCCATGCTCCTAGTGCGTGCGTGTGTGTGTGTAGAAGAAGTAGTTGTTTTAACAGGACAGTAGAAAGCTAAAACGACCACCACTGCGTACTTATTTTACACTGCACAACTGTTAAACCAAAATAAGACTGTGCACAAACATTCGCTATAGTCCATCGGGAATCAAATGGATTAACACTTCAAAAGGTGCGTAATTAAGCACATCTAAAATAAGTGCATTAGAGTACAGGTGAGTATACATAAACACATTGTATCTGTGATTGGTTACACCCATCATCACAAGTACATTATGGCAACTTTTAGGTTGAATAAAAAGCAAAACCTATAGCTCTACGTTTCAGGTTGCATTTAACAAGCCTCAATTATATACTAAACATTTAAACAAATCAGGTCTGAGTCAGAAATGTACAGTTTGATTGAACTCAATTTCAATTTTAAATGAAAAACACTTCACGTGAAGAACTGATAAACTGCGTTGCCGCATATGACCATAACTTTTTTGTAAAAACAGCTCCCAGGACCTCTTAAGCACCTCTGCACCTCCATGACCCTCATCCGTAGCAAAGTTTATTGCCCCCCTCCTCATCCACCTCCTCGCCTCCCTCCTTTTCTCCTCCCTCTCCTCTATCCATCCCTCCACAAAGAGCCGCGATGACCCTTCTGTCCCTGTCATTCTTCGTCCCTCCGCTCCCTCCCCACCTTCAGGATGCTTTCTCTTCCAGAATCCATTAAGAGACAAACCCCCAGCAGCCATGATGGGTGAAGGGACGATGGGGGAAAAGGTTTTTCTTTTCTTAAAATGTGAACCTGAGTTTATGCAGTGTTGGAAAACTATAACATGTTTGACGTGGTTGGAGATTTAACCGTTGTTAGCTACACATAAATAGCACTTAATTATGATATGACACTTAAGTCCTTTATTTATCTTCTAAATTGGTGTATTATATATATATATATATATATATATATATATATGTATATATATATATATATATATATAAAGAATAAAATACATGCTAGAATTGTGTTAAGGATTATGAGAGTATAAGCAATCGTTTTGTAGTGGCTTTTTAAACTAATCTGTTTTCTATGCTTTGATAGTGTAGTTAACACCTACAATCAATGTATAATTATAATCCGGGCTACTGTTTGTGGGGGTTTTGGGTTTTCAAGCGAATCCTCATGCCTCTAAAGAAATCCGTGCAGGTAATCGGTCTTTCACTTCTCTAATCTGTTTCACAGTGTCTGATCCCCGTTTGTTTACTCCGCTCACACTCTATAGCAGGACACATTATGCGCCGTGAAAAGCTACCCGGCTCGCCTTTATTCTCTCGCAGAGTTAGGAAGAGGTGGGGGGGGGCTAGAAAGCCAAGGTGGGGGTCCTGAACGCTGTGCTAGAGTTTTATTTCGGATGTTTTTTCAGTTGCAAAACAGATTACGGTCCAGGTTGCAACACAAAGGACTGTCAATGCACCACTTCCTACAGCCATCCAGGGGTGAATGGTGCGCAGGACGGGGTCCACTCCAGGGTACTCGAGCGCAGGTGCGACGTGCATAACAGTCAAGCCATAAAACACGAGGGGGGGCGGGCGCACATACCTGTTGTCATTAACCTGCTGCTAGTGTAACCTCTTCGTGGTGAAAATGTAGCGAGATGGAGTTAACAGCCTCATTTGCACCTCGTCAAGCAGCTTATAAAGAAACAAGTTAAGACGTGTGAGGAGTTTGCGCTGCAGCAACAACGAGATGCGGATTCACAAGTGAGTTCAGTTATAAGTAGGCTATCGAGGAAAAATGTTTAAAAATAATTAAAAAAAACACGGAGAAAACTATCAACCCCAGCATCAACAAGTAGATGAATCGCCCTCTGACAGTTTCTCATCATGTCTTCTAAATAATTGGACATATAATAAACTGTATTCTAATTACCCACAAGCAATGCGTGAAAACGTTTCCCCGAGGTGATACATGGAGGAAAAGTAGAGCAGTGCGTTCCAAAATGTAGATGGAGAAAACCAGATCACGCTGATACACCGACCCTCTCTGAAGAAGAGTCGCAAATATACAGCGAATTCGGCACAATGTTTTGTCAAAGTATAACGGTATTATAACTGCTGGGACTTTGTGAGCAGGTCTAACCCGCGTGGACTACTTTGTAAAAGGAGGAGGAAGGTGCACGTTTTGCGATGCCAAGACTGACCTCAGGGCCAACCTCTGCTGCTGACATCACTCCGCCTCACGGCTCGTCGCCTCTGCTTGGAGTCCCATCAAGGTCTGAGTCTCCCGCTGTGACCGAGGGCGATGCCTCATCACCATTCATTCTCAGGCAGGCACTCGGGACGAACACACACACTCGCACCGGTCCCTGGACAACTTCTTTTTTTTTTTTTAAAAACGACAACAACGAAATAAAGCGTTATGATGACAGAAGAAAGTAGGGGCAAGCGAAGGAAACAAGCCAACCCCAGGAGGAATCGAGGTAAGAACCGTGCAGCGCTGAAAAGTTTGAAGAAGTTGGTAAATGATGCAGTGGACACAGACCGAGATGATTTCTTCTGCAGTTTGTGGAAAGACTAGCTGTACATATTGTATAATCGCTGTGTAGCTTGCTGCACAGCAGGTTGACTACTCATGTGTCAGACTCTAATCTGTTTGCGTCCATGGCTTGTGATTGCCCTGCAGCGTAAATTGCAGGGTTGGTAATTGAGCTTTAGACAGGTTCGGGCATTATTCACTGGGATCGGTACATAAAACCCTGAAATACAAGCACACAACCTGTGGCTGCACGCGTTCTGTGAAATCGAATGAGCCTTGTTTCATTTTTTAAGGTAAATTGTAAATCATTAGTTATTTAGAAGGATCCACACTGTTTAAAACCTTCCAGTAAATCAGTTTTGATTTTATTATTTGAACTAATAACTTTTGTCAAGCCACTGTCACTGTACAGAGACTTTAGTTTTGTTGCTTCACCTGCTCTGAGACTGAAACTTTTACAGGACCTTGTTCCCTTATTATCTATATGCGATGTCCTGCTATGCAACCTGATTTAACATAAAGTTTTCTTTAGTTTGATACTTTTTAAATAGAAAGTAGACCGCAGAAGTAATGAGATACAGTTTAGGATTATCAACTGATGTGAACCCAAGGCTTTTCTTGAACTTCATGAAATGTCAAACATTTCTTCACGTCTAAAAAAAATAAATAATCAAATCTCAAAATCACTTGCATGATATATATATATATTTAAATAGTAAAATAGAAAGTATTTTAAATGATGTAACTTATTGTGGCTATAGTTTTTCTAATATAAAGGTTTTAAAATATGAAGCATTTATTTAAATCAGCCCATCATGTGCATGTGGACTCATTTCTTTCTTTTTATTCCATTTCTTTCTTTCTTTTTTTATTCTGACATGACTATCAATCACCTTATCAAGAATTAATGGAAGGCGTCAGATGACCATGAAGCTTTAGATGATGTCAGTTATCAGTTTCTGTGAATGCACTTCCTACAACAGAGCTGAGAGGAACCTCTATAGGCCGTATGCTGAATTAAGAGACATTGTTCTACATGCATCAGGTTGTGCCTTGTTTGTTTGTTTGTTTGTTTGTTTGTGTGTGGCTCTGAACTCACAAACACAAGTTAGGATACACACATCTGTGCATGGATGCAAATGTACACATTTGTTTTTCTATCCTGCTGATGAGGACTGAACATTTATGTTAGAGTCAAATCCCCAAATAAACAGTGAGCCTAAATTTAACTTGCAACCCCTTTCTAAATTACTTAAGTGTAAACCTAAACTTGAATCCCTGTAATCACATAAACCTGTTTCTAATACTAGTTGGGTTTTTAGGTGATGTGTCTTGCTGCTGCAGGTTGTTGTGATGCAGGGAAAGCCATGAGGTATCCTAAACAAACCTAACCATTACCCCCAATGCAAACATTGCCGTAAATCTACAAAAACACATAATCAACTCGGTGTCTAATGTTTGTTTTTTTGTCATTGCTATCAGTGAGAGGATATTTCGCCTTAAACATACAAAAAGCACACACACACACACACACACACATTACTGGCTTTATTCTGAACTCTTGCAAACCATGCAGAGTACAACCGCCGTAAACCTTTTCTGTAAGGAGTGTGTTTACTGTGTTTAGTTTATTAGTTTGCGTTTACGTGTTTCCTCATTTTATTCAGAGAGGTGTGAAGCTCAGCAGAGTGTTCCCGGGGTGAGAAACTTCACTGGCTGCCTGCCATGACGGGTAGTCGTGTGTGCCTGTGTATACACACAGACACACACTCTCACCTTTGACTGTCACGGAGCAGTTTGTCGACCGTCTTCACTCTATTTCACAAATCAGCACCGTCACACTACCGTGAAAGCTATCAGCAAAAAGCCACACTTACTGACACGGACCTGTCACTTATCAGAGCCCCAGTCCTGTTTCTCTAACTCCTGCAGAAACCTCAGAGGAGAGATAAGCATCACCTCTGGTCACGTATAACTTTTACCAATTAATGATGTGTTTTAAAAGTGAACGTAAAGATAGTCGATTACAAATCAATATTTATATCTAAGAATCTGAAAAACGATAAATGTCATGTTAGACTGGTATCTTTAATATATTCTTCAATATATTATCAGTAAGTTCGAGCTGCTTTTTTCCCCCAAATGCACAACGACTTGTTAGTACATCTGCAGGCATGTATGCCTGCGCTGATGGAGTGCTTATACATAGCATACGTGTTTGTCACACATTCGTCAGTGCATGTTTAAAGTCTGTGTGAGCGAGACCTTGTTGCGTGTGTATCCTTGTGTCAGAGTAGAAAAGTGTGTCTGAAAGCTCTGTGTAGGATTTGGAATGTGCTGGGCTGGAGGCGGCTTTGCGAGCAGGGAGTTAAAGGTCCTTGATAAAACCAAATGAATTTGGCAGGCCCAACTCATAAGACAGCGATTTGGGGGTCTTTTCCAAACCAGAAGAAAGAGAAAAAAAACCCATAGGGCTGGCTTTTCTTCTCTCTCCAAGGCGCCTATTGATTATGTCTCTGTCTCCCCCAATAAAACTGTCAATGTTCACCCATCTTAAAGCAACGTGAGGAAATTACTACCCTTCGTTCCCGGCAGATTGAAAACAGCCCCGAGACAAAGGGAGGAAACACATCCATTTGAAACGATGACCCGTATTTACTGGCTGTGAGTGAGATATTTGAGTTTCAAAGAGTGTGAATTAATTAGCTGAGCAATGATAACATCCCCCCTTCAGGCCCGTATACACAGTCAGTTGAACCAATGATTTCTGACACTATGGGTGGAATGCTCAACTGTACTTACACTTTTTAAAAATCTCTAAAATGTCTGGATGATGAATAGATGGGATGATTTATCTTTTTCCTTCAACAACACATATGCTATCATTATTTTTTTTTTTACAGTGAAACACATTTATGAAGACGCCAATTAAGACGCTCATTTCCGTATCTGTAAGAAAACTTTCATGAAAATGCATTCTCGTGCTTACTGAATTTCTCAAAAGCCATGTTGATGCAGCACTATTAACATCTTAGCAGACGCAACCATGAAGACTCCAGTCATTTATTTAAAGTCTTCTGGCTGTGTTATGTGCAGGCTTTCCCCTCGCCTCAAACTCAGCAGATATCCTCTGACATGCAATGAGAGTCTTTCAAACCCTTGTTCTTGAATGGAGGTTTGTGTTTTATGAGCACCGTCACAAACATATTTAGTCCCGCTTTATGTTTTGTTAGTCCACGATGTGTCTTTTTAAGAGAGCGCTTTCTCTCTCCCTGTTTCCCTCATTCCCTCTTTCTCATTTTTCTTCTTTTTTCAAGTGCCAATTTATTTAAACTCCTTTCCCCTTTTTCTTCTTTCTCCTTCATTGATTTCCAAACCCCAGTCTTTGTATGCAGCTGGGGCCCAGCTGTGTGTCTGCGACTGTGTATGTGTGTGTGTGTGTGTTTGTGTGGGTTTTTCTGGCACAGTGCTGCCATAGTGAGCATAGCACACTGTACACAAAGGACTCGAGCAGCACAAGAAAAGAGAGAGAGAGAGAAAAAGCGAAAGAGAGAGAATAGAGGGAAACATTTGAACGTGAACGACTGACGCGCCTGTACAGTACAGAGCGGAGGGGCCGTCCCGTTGGACTGGGCCTATTTTAATGGCCGATGTATCGGCGCTCTGGGATGAGGGGTGGGGAGAGCGAGACAGCAATGAAGAGCCCAGGCACCACAGTTTATTACCAGGACTCTTCAAGGGGCTCAACTCAGGCGTCAGAAGCAGCGGGTGGGAGGGACAGAGGAGGAAGAAAGTAGAGGCGGACGACGGAGGTGGGGAACTGATGGGGTTGACAGGGCTGGAGACAGTTCCTCGGCTTCAGAAGACAAGAGATGGAGGGGTTGAGGGGGTAGAGACAGAAGAGACGGGCCGGGCGACAGAGTGTGGGATAATAAGTGCTTCCTCATTTCTTCCTCAACTTTTCCCACAGCGCCAAATGTCACAGATTTCTCTCATCCCAGCTCTGTGTGTGTGATGCCAGATCTGCACAGCAGTAATGGGGAATCCCTTGATTGAGTCCCTCTGGTATTTTTCACATGTTTATTCGATTATTGCTCTTTGCGATGTTTCAGATGTAGCCACAGCAGTCCCATGTCTGACTGAGCATTCCTGCCGCGTGGCTGCCACACTGTTGATCCACTCTAGGAGGAATTATTTGGAAAGTTTTCAGTGCCATTGAAGGATTAATACACGCAGGGGGGGGGGTGTTACATCTAACAAACAATCATGATCTGATCTCTTAGTAGATGAAGATCAAATCCGGTGTAATCACCAGAAACTATTTATCCAGAAATATGGTCCTAATAGACTAAAATGGTGGTGAACACACATCTCCGTTATAAACTTGAGAGCGGAGTGCATGTCTAAGGATCACACTGCATCAAACTGTAAGATCACACTAATAGCCACAGAGCTCGTGAGGTGTGTATAGGTGCCTGCGTACATGCGCTTTTCACACTTTAACACCAACTGTATTTCCTGCGGCTTCTCACTCACAAACAGGCATTTCTATTTCGAAGGCATTTTATCTGATAAGGTCCACATGCTGTGTATAGTTTGATGTTGCAAATTGATCCCTTTTAATTCTCCACATAAGCCATTTGCAGCGCTATTATTACATTCCTTGCCGTTGCTTTGGCAAGACCCGTCGTCATTAAGTCTATTTGTGGGTCTTCCTTTTGTGTAGATAGCATGTGTTTCACATGCTGCACATGAAAGAGGTTAAAATTATCCAGAAAGGCAGGCTCTCTGCACACAATTTATAGATATGTGCTGTTTTATCACACCTCAAATTAAATTTGGAAACCCTGCTTCAACTGTCATGTAATGCAAGTCCCAGATGGGTGGCAGAGAGAGAGAGAGAGAGAGAGAGAGAGAGAGAGAGGAGAGAAAGACAAAGAGACA